TATTGGACACACACAAAATCCCAATTAGGAATGAAAAAGCAAGTTTCCATTCATTAAAAGAAAGTCATAATTACAATCATAATGAAGGACAGGCAAAAGGAGTCACAACTTCACAACCAGATTAAAACAAACTTTTCAAGCAGCGGAGCTTCTCTTTTTCTTCTTAATGTCACTTCCAAGTTACTTTGTGTGTTAGCAGCCACCTTAGCTATATGATTTTAGAGGTTCATTTATAACTAAATGTTACAAGAATCTGAATAAACTAGTACTAAGGTCAACCCAAGATGATTTGCATTGCTCAACCACCTTCACGGCTGCCTGCTTCTTGGACTCAATGTCAGCTGCTTGAGGATTCAAGAAGGCCAACTTCTGCTTGGCAATTTTAGTCTTATCAACAAAGGCGGCAAGAACCTCATCCATCTTAGTTTGTCTCTCAACGGCAGCGTCTAATATTGCTCTAAGATGCGCTATCTTCTTGGCAGCCACGCCTAAGCGTTCTTGAAGGGCTGGAATTTTAACAGCTTGCACCTCCAAGAATTCCTGAAGAGAAGAAAACTCCGAAGCTGTATCAATAGCTGTCTGTGCTTGCAGAAAGGCAGTAGCATTTTCCCGGAGCTCATTCCTAAACACTGTCAACCTAGTCTTCAAATGAGCACATGGGAAGACATCGGCTGACAAAAGAACTTCTGAAGAAGCAAAAAAAGCTTCTTGCATTTCAGAATTCGTTAAAGCATCAAAGCCTTGACAAAGGATTCCTCGAATGGTCTCCTTGGCAGACTCCACAGGTGCTTGCATAGTTGTTGGCCGAACATCAGAATGATGGGTAACAGACCCCCGAAGTAGATCGATAACATCAGCCTCTAAGGAACTCAACTCATCCAACAACTACAGGGATACAGCAAAGTTAGTAGATGAACACAGCCAACCAAAAATAAAAGATAAGAACTACAGCTGACCTTGTGTGATCCGGCTGTAGGAAATAATTCTGAATGAAAATGGTTAATCAGCAAGCTTGAACTTGAATTGGAGGGGCAAATGGTTGCAGGCTCCTGAAAATTAAGAACATCAACCTAAAGACTAACACACATAGGCAAGTGGAAAGCTGTGTGACAGCATGGTATGGATTAACAAATAGGTCGTCAAGAATACCTCTTGAGAAACAAAGACATTTTGTATTATGATATAAACCCTGAAGGAAAAGAAACAGAGAATGTATTTACCTCCTGGTTAGATTCCACTACAAATACCCCAGTAGATGGAGGCTGAGTCGCATCCAAAGGAGCCACATCAATTAGGTCAAATGATCGTGACTCTATAGATGGGACCAACTGGGGCTCAGGGTGAATAGCGTTCCATGATGGCAAGGAGTTGGTGGGCCCATAAGTATCTACAAGGATGCCTGAGGTCTTCTTTGTCTGAAACAATGGAATGTCTGTTAATATGGTGAGAAAGTCTGCAACGTAAAAAGAAATCCTTACCTTAACCTTGAGCTTGTCACCGACATGATCAAGTGTCTTCCTCTTGGCAGACTGTGGGTCAGGGTCATAAGGGGTTTGAGAGGACAAAGTAGTAAGTGCTGCAGATAGATTTCTTTCTTATTAGAAAACTCTACAAACACAAATAAAAAAGCCTCTGCCTTTTTAAAAACAAAGGATTAATTTAATACTATAACATTACGACTATAAGACAACGATTGCATCACTGTAAGATTCATATGCAATTAGCTGTATTTATAAATTTTTAAAAAAAAAGTGAAAATGACATTTCAAAAGTTTCACAGAAGCCATTCTTCCACATTTCTTACCAAACAGAGCTCAATCAACTGTATAACATAGTTAAATTCAGAATAGACATTAAGCACACAACAAGCTGTACAGCATGCAAAAAACTACATAGAAAAGGGTGCACACATGTGTACAAGATATTAGGCTATGATCACAGCCTTCCTATGATATCTACATAAGAAAATTGAAAAAAGATTGTTATAAGCCATATCTTGCAAAAGATCTATAGACAAAAATAATTATAATTCAATAATTATGTTTAGCAATACTAACTCAGTAGATAATTACCTTCAAACGAGGGAGGGGCAGGATCCTCTTCAGCAGATTCTATTATGAGGCAGCTGGCCCTACTTTCCCACTCCTCCTTGTAACATCCATACTTCCCATATGTTCCCCAATTTATTCCTTTCCGACCAAACCGAGAACCCAATTCCAACTCAACAAGGGGGCGCAACATATTGGTATTCACTTCCTGAATGCCAAATTGCTTTGGACTTAAATCAGGACGATGATACACAGCCTTCTCATAGCAAAGGAGGATTGTCCGCGACATGCCAATTTTCTCCTGCCCGGCACAATACTGTGGAAGAAAATCACAAGGTAGCCTTTTGTATGGCTGCCATACAATCTACAAGAAAACGAAAAGATAATAGCCTGTAAAACGAAAGAAGAACCAATCAATGAAAGGAAAATCAAAGCGCAAACACTAACATCATCCTCCTTTAACCCATCCAGAATTTGAAGATATTCTTGTTTAGTAATTTTTTCTTCAGTATTGGAGGGCTCGCACAGGAGTTTTGTCCATCCTGCCAACAAAGGAAACGTTGTTGGAAGATAATCATCCACCGGATTAGCTCCATTCAAACAAAATCTCAGCAGCAGCTTAGGTATACGCTCCATTGCAAAAACCTGCAAAAAAGAAAATAATAAAATTGTTAATCAGATTTGGAACATGAAAATTTAACAATGGATTAACACTAACAAAATTATTGCTTACCATAAGAGAATAGCTGTGTCCGATCAATATGTTTCTTCGGCGTGGTGAATAAGATTGCTTAAAATTCTCCATGGAAAGATGAAGATGAGCTAATAAAGCAGCACCCCATGCATAATCCTTTATGCTTTGAAGATTTTCCATAAGAGAAAGATACATAACAGGAACATTAGCTCCGTAATAACTCGGAACAACTAAGGAGCCTATAAGATACAGCAGAAAAGCTCGAACATAAGGTTCAATCTCAGGACTATCTTGATCAATAGTCTCAGGAACTACCTCAAAATTCTTCCTAAGCCATGCTGAATTAGTGAAACCAGTTCTCGTTTTATCGCAAACATTACGACCTAAGTATTTCATACAAAGCTCATTCCCTTTTGAATCAATACCCGTCACAGGATTACCATCTACTGGCAACCCTGTTATATACAATACATCTTCTAAACCAAAAACAAGTTTATGACCATTAAAGACGAAACATCTGCTTTTTACATCATAGGATTCAACAAGTGCAGATAATAGGGGTAAATCATGGTTCACTGGAAAAGTAGTGAGCCTCAGTAACCCATCAAAGCCGGAGTCTTTAATTCTCTGTTTAACTCTTTTGTCAATCTTCCATTCCTTCAAATTATTTATGCCATCAAGCACCTGGTCAATATCCATCTTTTGGGTATAACAATCAACACAATATACAAGACTGAGTACTATTGCTGATTAGCTTAACCTGCAGGAAGAAGAAAGTGGTGGAAAAGGCTTTTAAGGACCTTACTGACAACAGAAATAGTAGAAAATTGCTTATGATTTTGGCCCTCATTGTGGAACCCAAATCACTTCAACATCTACAAACCCACATCAGTTTTACACATGACGTTCATATGATCTATATATTCTAAACGAGAAAAGGAAAAGGCAAAAGATAAAAGCAAGATAAGCTAATCAGATCCCCAATGAGAACCCAAGACATGCAAATTTTCAAATTCAAAATAGTCACACAATACACAACCGGTTAAACAGTGAGAACAAAAATCAGGAGATGCATGCGGGCTAATTTCTACAAATACAGTCAGTTTGAATAAATACAAGGATTTGAGAAAGCTCAATACTTTTATAAACCGAAAAAGTGTAGAGAAAGCTATTATTCGCTTTTGATCCCGTTGGAATGCAGAACAGAGAATGCAATCATTGCAAGCTGCTTTATTTTGTTTGTTTTGTCTCTAATTTGCGAAAGGATTGCAGAGCCAAAGCAAACGAGAAAAGAAAAAACTTGTCTTTTTTTTCCCCCCTTAAAGAAGAAGGCCAAAAGCTTAGGGAGAGAAGATGGGGAATATTTGCTATTTTCTCTCACCTGAAGTCAGTTCTTCACAACCTAAAAGCTTCACTCTTCAATTTCTTCACAACACAAAGCTTCGTTCTTCTCTCTGTGCACGACACAAAAGTTTCACTCTTCCCTCTCTGCACACACAAAAGCTTAACGCTTCTCTCTCTGCACAACACAAATGCTTCACTCTCTCACTCCTCTCTCTAGAAGAGGAAATTCACAGGCCTGTCACTCTTTTACTCTTGTGATCATGACAAAGCAGAAAACTCCTCTTGGAAAAGCGCGCTGAACAGCAAGAATGACAAGATACTTCTTTTTTCCAATCAAGTATTAAATTGATCATGACAAAGCATAATTAAGTAATCCCATCAAGCACTTTTATGTGAAAAGAAATGGTACTACTCGTCAGGCCATATCCAATCACAAGACCCAGAAAATAAATTTGGCTCAACTCAAAATGTGTTTATGCTAGTTGTGTCAAGTGTAATTTGAGATATATTTTAAAAGAATTATAATATATAAAAGAGTCGGAAAAATATCAGGAAATTTGATACAAAGTTTCTGACTATCGCTCCTATACAATTTTGGGTCACTTTTTTCCATGTTCAAATTTATGTAAAAAATTGTGAGAAAGGTTGTCGGTACTCTAGAATTTTATAAATGATAACTATTTAGATAGAATTTAAAGTTGAGATTTGTCACTTTCAAATTCTTTTTCTTTTTTCTCACATGGAATTTTTGGATTTCTTTATTTTTTATTTTTTATTCAAACACGGAATTTTGGTTTTTAATTTAAAAATTACATTAGTATGTACATTCAAAAAGAAAAAGAAAGCTGACTGTTACTAAGAGAGAATGAGAGAACAACTAAACATAACGTATTTGTGCACAAGAAGGAATCACATTAGAAGGAAAATGATGGGAACTCAACAACAAAACAATTGGACGACAGAGCCAGTCCATCACGTCCTCGCCACACCGGATACTGGCCGATCTCAATTCCCTTTGCATCAACCAAGTCTTTCGGTTTATTAGTCCTGGCCACACTGGGGCCATGTTTTTTTCTCCTTCCCAAATCTTTAGATTTCTCGAGCCTTGGCCACACGGACACCATTTTCTCTTTGCCACCAAACTCCTTCAGTTTCTCGAGCCCTGGTCACACTGGTGCCATTTTCTTTACGCCTCTAAAACCATTTGGTTTTTCAAGCCCTGGCCACACTGATGTCATTTTCCTTGTAGACTTGCAAATATATCAAGAAGATTTCTTCGCAATGAGTGATCTACTCTTTTTGCTGCGTGTGCTTCTATATAAAGCCCTCCACTCCACGCCACTATATATAGAAGTCCAAAGAAATCATAAGAGCACTTTCACTCGTGCAGGCCAGCATGGGCAGAAGGCCCCCTAGCCCCAAAAACCAACTCCATTGTATAATGCGTGGAAACTTATACGGGGTGGTCTGTGCGGGGTTTCCTTAAAAGACGTCCGATCGATCTAACGGTATACTTTTGACATTATCTTTATGCTACAACCGGGTTGTAATTACCCGTTTTTAAGAACCAAAGGGTTTTGTCATCCACGTGCCCACTCCACTCTACAGCCATCCACGTGCCCCTTTGAAAGCTCCAAGAAACTTAATCAAATTCTTATTTTTCCATTTCTCCTCTTGCAGTTATCTCCTTTCTTTTTTTCTGAGCGGTGCATCTCCTCTTCTTCCACCCGTGTTACCCACCCCTCCTCCTTCTCTCTCCCTCTGTCTCTCTCTCTCTCTCTTCGACATCCCAAGTTTTAGATCTAACACTCCCTGTTTGTTATCGGATGCCTGTTGTAGCCTCACATCTAACAAAGACAATTTATTCATCTTCAACTTTTTTATGATTTTGGAACTCTCTTCTTTCTTCTTCCTTTTTTTTTGGTTGTGAACAAATTTTTCTGATCTGGCATCTTCGCTCTCAATTTAAAAAAGGTAAGGTTGCGAAAAAATTTGGTGTCACCTGTTCTTGATTTCTGGGTTTTATTTGCATTTGATTTATGATCTCATTTGGTAAGTCTCCCCTTCTTTTCTGGGTTTCATTTGCATCTGATTTCTGATCTCATTTGGTAAGTGTACCCTTCAATTGAAAATGACCAAGATTCAATAGTTGAAAATTTTCTGCCTTCTTGTTTACAGTGTTTTTAAATAGGGAAAGGTTCCTCTCTAACTTCTTTATCTGCCTTCAAATCTCTCTCTCTCTCTCTCTCTCTCTCTCTCTCTCTCTCTCTCTCTCTCATCCGTTTTTTTATGAACTAGTTGCGTGCATCATCTGCACGACCCAATCTAGTATAACAAGAAACAAGCTGATCGCCAATGAACCCATCAGTATAATTGAAAGATTTGATGACGCAGGAGTGAATTGCACGGCAATAGGAGATTGAAGAGCAGGAGCTTACAGCAGAAATTAGATATGAAAGAAGAATGTCTGGATTTGGATGTGAGGGAAATTGGACAGAGGACTGGGAAGAAAGAAGAGCATTGTGAAATCTTTTCTGGGTGAAGAGTTTGCAGAAACGTTGTGGGTTTTGAATTTGATGGAAGCAGAAGAAAGTTCTGGACTTGAAGAGAAAGGAACTGAAGGATGTTGGGCTGGTCCTAACAGTTAATTCCCTGGTTTAAATTTATCTCCTTTGAGAAATGATGGAAATGGGTTAGACCATACATGGTTCCTGGCTGCGATTTTTCTCCTCAATATTGCAAGGTTCTCTGATTTATTTAATTAGATGTTAGTTTGGGTGAATTTCCTCCGTTAATAAATATTTCCACAAGAAAATCAAAACAAATAATTGGGGAGTTGACTTGAGATTTGAGTTGTGAACTTCTGAGAGAAAAGAAAAGAAATTACTCAAAGTCACTAAAAATAGAGATTGATATGCAGGAAAGAAGAGGCCATAGGGTAACTTCAGGGAAAGTTGGGTTTTTGAGGGGTTACAGGGGTGTTTGCGCTTTGCGTTGAATATGGATATTGCTGTTCAAAGTAGAAAATGGAGAAATTTTTAAAAATGTAGTCAATAATGCATATAGAGTAGAAGAAATGTAAGATTAATTTTATAATATATATATATTTTTATTTTATTTTAAAGTATGTGTATTTCCATATTTGCATTATTTTTATTGTTTGTTTAAAATATAAAATAAACAAATTCTTCAATAACTCTCTCCTCTCCCTCACGCACCTAAACCCATCTTCTTCATCATACCCAACCCACCACTCCAGCCAGCCGCCCTTAGCACAACTGTTGTCCCTTTCCTTACCCCATATAATCTGTATATAATAATAATTCATGGTAAAAAGTAATATAATATTATTTTAGGGTAAATAACAATATAATAACAATTTATCATAAAAGTAATAGAATAATAATTTTACAAATTTATAAATAAACCCAATCCTAGACATGTATTTATAAAAAAAACCCAAATACTATTTAAACATAGAAACACACTCAAAATCAACAATTGTATATTTTTTAGGTGTGTTTATAAATGGGTTTTGAGTGTGTGTAATGATGGGTTTTGGGTGTGTTTATAAAGTGTTTTGGGTGTTGGGTTTTTTTATAATTTCAGCCCCATTTTGGGTGTTTTAGTGAAACTCCCTAATAATTTAGAGTAAATGATAATATAATAATAATTTAGGGTTAATAACAATATAATAACAATTTAGGGTAAAAAGTAATAATAATAATTTATGGTAACTATTAATATAATAATAATTTAGTATAGATAACAATATAATAATAATTCACTGTAAAAAGTAATATAATAATAATTCACTGTAAAAAGTAATATATAATATTTTAGGGTAAATAACAATATAATAACAATTTAGGATGAAAAGCAATAGAATAATAATTTAGGCCTTTATAATCAAAGATAATGTAAGGGAGTTTGTAGCAATTTTTGTGTATTTTTTTATTTTTAATTAATTTTTTTGTGATTTTTTTAAGATAAACTTGGAAAAAGTAAACAAAATGGCATGTGGCAGAATCGTAGGACCTATAAAAAATATACAAATTTATAAATAAACCCAATCCTAGACATGTAATGTCGCAGAAACTAAACAAAAAAAAAAAAAAAAAAAAAAAAAAAAAAAAAAAAAAAAAAAAAAAAAAAAAAAAAAAAAAAAAAAAAAAAAAAAAAAAAAAAAAAAAAAAAAAAAAAAAAAAAAAAAAAAAAAAAAAAAAAAAAAAAAAAAAAAAAAAAAAAAAAAAAAAAAAAAAAAAAAAAAAAAAAAAAAAAAAAAAAAAAAAAAAAAAAAAAAAAAAAAAAAAAAAAAAAAAAAAAAAAAAAAAAAAAAAAAAAAAAAAAAAAAAAAAAAAAAAAAAAAAAAAAAAAAAAAAAAAAAAAAAAAAAAAAAAAAAAAAAAAAAAAAAAAAAAAAAAAAAAAAAAAAAAAAAAAAAAAAAAAAAAAAAAAAAAAAAAAAAAAAAAAAAAAAAAAAAAAAAAAAAAAAAGACTATCTTGATCAATAGTCTCAGGAACTACCTCAAAATTCTTCCTAAGCCATGCTGAATTAGTGAAACCAGTTCTCGTTTTATCGCAAACATTACGACCTAAGTATTTCATACAAAGCTCATTCCCTTTTGAATCAATACCCGTCACAGGATTACCATCTACTGGCAACCCTGTTATATACAATACATCTTCTAAACCAAAAACAAGTTTATGACCATTAAAGACGAAACATCTGCTTTTTACATCATAGGATTCAACAAGTGCAGATAATAGGGGTAAATCATGGTTCACTGGAAAAGTAGTGAGCCTCAGTAACCCATCAAAGCCGGAGTCTTTAATTCTCTGTTTAACTCTTTTGTCAATCTTCCATTCCTTCAAATTATTTATGCCATCAAGCACCTGGTCAATATCCATCTTTTGGGTATAACAATCAACACAATATACAAGACTGAGTACTATTGCTGATTAGCTTAACCTGCAGGAAGAAGAAAGTGGTGGAAAAGGCTTTTAAGGACCTTACTGACAACAGAAATAGTAGAAAATTGCTTATGATTTTGGCCCTCATTGTGGAACCCAAATCACTTCAACATCTACAAACCCACATCAGTTTTACACATGACGTTCATATGATCTATATATTCTAAACGAGAAAAGGAAAAGGCAAAAGATAAAAGCAAGATAAGCTAATCAGATCCCCAATGAGAACCCAAGACATGCAAATTTTCAAATTCAAAATAGTCACACAATACACAACCGGTTAAACAGTGAGAACAAAAATCAGGAGATGCATGCGGGCTAATTTCTACAAATACAGTCAGTTTGAATAAATACAAGGATTTGAGAAAGCTCAATACTTTTATAAACCGAAAAAGTGTAGAGAAAGCTATTATTCGCTTTTGATCCCGTTGGAATGCAGAACAGAGAATGCAATCATTGCAAGCTGCTTTATTTTGTTTGTTTTGTCTCTAATTTGCGAAAGGATTGCAGAGCCAAAGCAAACGAGAAAAGAAAAAACTTGTCTTTTTTTTCCCCCCTTAAAGAAGAAGGCCAAAAGCTTAGGGAGAGAAGATGGGGAATATTTGCTATTTTCTCTCACCTGAAGTCAGTTCTTCACAACCTAAAAGCTTCACTCTTCAATTTCTTCACAACACAAAGCTTCGTTCTTCTCTCTGTGCACGACACAAAAGTTTCACTCTTCCCTCTCTGCACACACAAAAGCTTAACGCTTCTCTCTCTGCACAACACAAATGCTTCACTCTCTCACTCCTCTCTCTAGAAGAGGAAATTCACAGGCCTGTCACTCTTTTACTCTTGTGATCATGACAAAGCAGAAAACTCCTCTTGGAAAAGCGCGCTGAACAGCAAGAATGACAAGATACTTCTTTTTTCCAATCAAGTATTAAATTGATCATGACAAAGCATAATTAAGTAATCCCATCAAGCACTTTTATGTGAAAAGAAATGGTACTACTCGTCAGGCCATATCCAATCACAAGACCCAGAAAATAAATTTGGCTCAACTCAAAATGTGTTTATGCTAGTTGTGTCAAGTGTAATTTGAGATATATTTTAAAAGAATTATAATATATAAAAGAGTCGGAAAAATATCAGGAAATTTGATACAAAGTTTCTGACTATCGCTCCTATACAATTTTGGGTCACTTTTTTCCATGTTCAAATTTATGTAAAAAATTGTGAGAAAGGTTGTCGGTACTCTAGAATTTTATAAATGATAACTATTTAGATAGAATTTAAAGTTGAGATTTGTCACTTTCAAATTCTTTTTCTTTTTTCTCACATGGAATTTTTGGATTTCTTTATTTTTATTTTTTATTCAAACACGGAATTTTGGTTTTTAATTTAAAAATTACATTAGTATGTACATTCAAAAAGAAAAGAAAGCTGACTGTTACTAAGAGAGAATGAGAGAACAACTAAACATAACGTATTTGTGCACAAGAAGGAATCACATTAGAAGGAAAATGATGGGAACTCAACAACAAAACAATTGGACGACAGAGCCAGTCCATCACGTCCTCGCCACACCGGATACTGGCCGATCTCAATTCCCTTTGCATCAACCAAGTCTTTCGGTTTATTAGTCCTGGCCACACTGGGGCCATGTTTTTTTCTCCTTCCCAAATCTTTAGATTTCTCGAGCCTTGGCCACACGGACACCATTTTCTCTTTGCCACCAAACTCCTTCAGTTTCTCGAGCCCTGGTCACACTGGTGCCATTTTCTTTACGCCTCTAAAACCATTTGGTTTTTCAAGCCCTGGCCACACTGATGTCATTTTCCTTGTAGACTTGCAAATATATCAAGAAGATTTCTTCGCAATGAGTGATCTACTCTTTTTGCTGCGTGTGCTTCTATATAAAGCCCTCCACTCCACGCCACTATATATAGAAGTCCAAAGAAATCATAAGAGCACTTTCACTCGTGCAGGCCAGCATGGGCAGAAGGCCCCCTAGCCCCAAAAACCAACTCCATTGTATAATGCGTGGAAACTTATACGGGGTGGTCTGTGCGGGGTTTCCTTAAAAGACGTCCGATCGATCTAACGGTATACTTTTGACATTATCTTTATGCTACAACCGGGTTGTAATTACCCGTTTTTAAGAACCAAAGGGTTTTGTCATCCACGTGCCCACTCCACTCTACAGCCATCCACGTGCCCCTTTGAAAGCTCCAAGAAACTTAATCAAATTCTTATTTTTCCATTTCTCCTCTTGCAGTTATCTCCTTTCTTTTTTTCTGAGCGGTGCATCTCCTCTTCTTCCACCCGTGTTACCCACCCCTCCTCCTTCTCTCTCCCTCTGTCTCTCTCTCTCTCTCTTCGACATCCCAAGTTTTAGATCTAACACTCCCTGTTTGTTATCGGATGCCTGTTGTAGCCTCACATCTAACAAAGACAATTTATTCATCTTCAACTTTTTTATGATTTTGGAACTCTCTTCTTTCTTCTTCCTTTTTTTTTGGTTGTGAACAAATTTTTCTGATCTGGCATCTTCGCTCTCAATTTAAAAAAGGTAAGGTTGCGAAAAAATTTGGTGTCACCTGTTCTTGATTTCTGGGTTTTATTTGCATTTGATTTATGATCTCATTTGGTAAGTCTCCCCTTCTTTTCTGGGTTTCATTTGCATCTGATTTCTGATCTCATTTGGTAAGTGTACCCTTCAATTGAAAATGACCAAGATTCAATAGTTGAAAATTTTCTGCCTTCTTGTTTACAGTAGGGAAAGGTTCCTCTCTAACTTTGTTTTCTTCTTTATCTGCCTTCAAATCTCTCTCTCTCTCTCTCTCTCTCTCTCTCTCTCTCTCTCTCTCTCATCCGTTTTTTTATGAACTAGTTGCGTGCATCATCTGCACGACCCAATCTAGTATAACAAGAAACAAGCTGATCGCCAATGAACCCATCAGTATAATTGAAAGATTTGATGACGCAGGAGTGAATTGCACGGCAATAGGAGATTGAAGAGCAGGAGCTTACAGCAGAAATTAGATATGAAAGAAGAATGTCTGGATTTGGATGTGAGGGAAATTGGACAGAGGACTGGGAAGAAAGAAGAGCATTGTGAAATCTTTTCTGGGTGAAGAGTTTGCAGAAACGTTGTGGGTTTTGAATTTGATGGAAGCAGAAGAAAGTTCTGGACTTGAAGAGAAAGGAACTGAAGGATGTTGGGCTGGTCCTAACAGTTAATTCCCTGGTTTAAATTTATCTCCTTTGAGAAATGATGGAAATGGGTTAGACCATACATGGTTCCTGGCTGCGATTTTTCTCCTCAATATTGCAAGGTTCTCTGATTTATTTAATTAGATGTTAGTTTGGGTGAATTTCCTCCGTTAATAAATATTTCCACAAGAAAATCAAAACAAATAATTGGGGAGTTGACTTGAGATTTGAGTTGTGAACTTCTGAGAGAAAAGAAAAGAAATTACTCAAAGTCACTAAAAATAGAGATTGATATGCAGGAAAGAAGAGGCCATAGGGTAACTTCAGGGAAAGTTGGGTTTTTGAGGGGTTACAGGGGTGTTTGCGCTTTGCGTTGAATATGGATATTGCTGTTCAAAGTAGAAATGGAGAAATTTTTAAAAATGTAGTCAATAATGCATATAGAGTAGAAGAAATGTAAGATTAATTTTATAATATATATATATTTTTTATTTTATTTTAAAGTATGTGTATTTCCATATTTGCATTATTTTTATTGTTTGTTTAAAATATAAAATAAACAAATTCTTCAATAACTCTCTCCTCTCCCTCACGCACCTAAACCCATCTTCTTCATCATACCCAACCCACCACTCCAGCCAGCCGCCCTTAGCACAACTGTTGTCCCTTTCCTTACCCCATATAATCTGTATATAATAATAATTCATGGTAAAAAGTAATATAATATTATTTTAGGGTAAATAACAATATAATAACAATTTATCATAAAAGTAATAGAATAATAATTTTACAAATTTATAAATAAACCCAATCCTAGACATGTATTTATAAAAAAAACCCAAATACTATTTAAACATAGAAACACACTCAAAATCAACAATTGTATATTTTTTAGGTGTGTTTATAAATGGGTTTTGAGTGTGTGTAATGATGGGTTTTGGGTGTGTTTATAAAGTGTTTTGGGTGTTGGGTTTTTTTATAATTTCAGCCCCATTTTGGGTGTTTTAGTGAAACTCCCTAATAATTTAGAGTAAATGATAATATAATAATAATTTAGGGTTAATAACAATATAATAACAATTTAGGGTAAAAAGTAATATAATAATAATTTATGGTAACTATTAATATAATAATAATTTAGTATAGATAACAATATAATAATAATTCACTGTAAAAAGTAATATAATAATAATTCACTGTAAAAAGTAATATAATAATATTTTAGGGTAAATAACAATATAATAACAATTTAGGATGAAAAGCAATAGAATAATAATTTAGGCCTTTATAATCAAAGATAATGTAAGGAGTTTGTAGCAATTTTTTGTGTATTTTTTTTATTTTTAATTAATTTTTTTGTGATTTTTTTAAGATAAACTTGGAAAAAGTAAACAAAATGGCATGTGGCAGAATCGTAGGACCTATAAAAAATATACAAATTTATAAATAAACCCAATCCTAGACATGTATTTATAGAAAATCCCAAGCACTATTTAAACATAGAAACACACCCAAAATCAACCCCAAAGTCAACTTTTTGGGTGTGTTTATAAATGGATTTTGAGTGTGTGTAATGATGGGTTTTGGGTGTGTTTATATGTTTAAATAGTGCTTGGGTTTTTTTATAATTTAAGCTCCCATTTTGGGTGTTTTAGTGAAACTCCCTAAAAAATAATGACTACTCTTCTTTGAGCGGCTGCCACATGTGATTATCTAAATTTAATATTATTTATTTTGGA